GCGGGAAAAGGTGGGGGGGGGGGGGGGGGGGAGCATGTCGAGCTTTGGGCCAAATCCGGGGAACACCTAAGCGAGCCTGTGCTTCTTGGCCACCCATTGGCGAGTCTAGGCCAAGGAAGTTTCATCGACTACCACGACTACCAAAGTAACTTGCGCGTCCTCTGTAGGTCATGTGAAGGGCAGACTATGATTGCGATTTGCTGTCACAAGACTCGGTATACATGTAGCAGCACTCGTAGCAAAGTACCCCGAGTTTGCAGCTGAGATGGGCTTTCTGATCAGATCTACAATAGTTCTCCGCCTCCTCAAAGTACCATATCAGCTTCTCCATATACAATGGTACTGTGAGCATCTATCTCTGCACTGCTGATGCTGCTGCTGCTGCCGCTACCCATAGCGATCACCGGATAAAGTCAAACCCACCATTCACGCCAATGATCATGCCTGTCGTCCATCGCGCCTCGGGCATACAGTGCAGAGCCACAGCGTCCCCAATCTCGTAATCATAGGCCACGCGACCATTGAATGACTTTGCAATGGCCTTCATCTCGTCAGTGTCCGTGTCGCGGATGGGCCCCAACGGTGTCATCGTGTTCATGAGGGCCACCTTTTCCGCCACGTACGGGATGGGTTGCATGTCGGTCAGCACGGGGCCCACGTTGAGGGCGTTGACAGTCGCTCGCTCGGCCAGTTCGCGCGACCACGTTCTCGTCATGGCGTCGAGTGCGGCTTTCGTGCCTCCGTAGACGGTGTGTCCGAGTGTGCCGATGGTGGCCGAGATTGAAGAGATGTTTATGACCCGCCCAGATCGGTCGTGGGGTAGGTATGGTAGAACCGCCTGCATAACGAGGATTGGTCCAAGTACGTTGATGGCATAGGAATCATAGAAGCTCTTTGTGGTGATATCCGGCAGGAGATCCGCCGGACAGACTCCCGCGTTGTTGACGACAATGTCGATTTGGAACCGACCACCCTCTGGCGGGGTGAGAGACCGTCTGGCGGCTTCGACGATTTTATCCCCAGCGTCTGGTTGTCCAAGATCGGCTCGAACGCAGACAGCCCTCGTGCCGTACTCTGCCTGTATCTCGGCCACCAGGGTCTCGCTCTTGGTGATGGACGACTCCGATGTATAGTTGAAACAGACGTCCGCGCCTCGGGCTGCCAGACTTCTCACAACAGCTGCCCCAATGCCTGGATACCGTTGTCAGTGGGGTCGTTGCTTATGTCTTTGTGTGTGTCTCTCTCTACCTCTTGATCCTCCTGTGACTATAGCAACTTTTCCCTGGAACGGTCCTCGGCCCCTAGCGCAAGAACCCATCCTCAATCAAGTTTTTTCTTAGAGGGAGAGAAAGGCTAGACAAGATGTTTCTGTCACCTGGAGATCTCACTTCAAGGTATTGAGGATGATTTGTCTATTGACAGAGGCAAAAAGTGCAAACTACTTTAAGGGGCTTACAGCAAGACGTACATGGACCACATGCCCTGGATTCAATCCACCACGGCATCATCAAAGTTTCCGGCCCTCCACGCTCAAAGGTCTCTCGCGCCGGAAGTATGCATGCCGGAAATGCCGTACAAATGCCTAGCTTTACTGACCTATGATATTTTGTCTTTGGCGCTGCCGAGGCTGACGCAAAAGTAGGTTTTGTTTTCAAACCCAGAAACACGACCCTTGGTGACACAATACCCATAGCTGCCTACCGGCGATATCTTCCACACGATGGTTGTCACTGTCGTATACTGCATAGAGACCGTCTGCTCCCTATGCAGAGATCAACTTCGTAGCAGAGTTTTGTTAATACTCCATTTGGTTCACTGACATCTATTGCATTGCAGATCTGATGCACAACCAAACAGCATCACACTGGTCACTATACCGCAATCACGATGACCTGGTACAAGACTATTCTTCCCCGGCCACTATGGACTCCTCAGGATCCGACGCCATTATTGGGTCGTTGACGTGCACAATCTCTTTTCTCGCGGCATCCGAGGCGCCGGGCTGGTCCAGGTACCACGCGAGATCACCGCCCTCGAGTTCTCGAGCAGTTCGTCCGCGGCCTAGGAACTCGAAGCGATTGGATGATCGATACTTGAAGTTGAAGTCCTCCCAGCGTGGGGTGGTGATGAGTTCAAGGAAATGCACGGCTGAACCAGGCCAAGGGCCCCATACCGTACCATCTATCGTTCCATTCTTGTACCTAGAGCCACAAGGTAGTTAGAAGGGCCCGTTTTTTATCATTGCCTTCATGTTCTGGATAGGATAGAAAAGAAACAACGAACCATGATCGGCACGACGAAGTCCACACAAGGTCTTTCATGACAGAATCTTTGTGCTCTTGGAAGTCGTCCACTGCCTCCTGCTTTGGAGTGATGGACTTGATGTTCTCGGTCATGAGCTTCTCAGCAGCATTGTATGCAAACCTCAAACAAAACTCGAAACACGGGATCAGGGCGCCATTGGCCGTCGGGGAGTTAGGTCCGCTCGTGACTGTAGTTTTATCCCGGTCAGTATCGCTGGACAATGTGTCGTGTTGGAAACGGACTAACTAAAGTAATTAGGAAATCCTGCAGCGCCAAATCCTAGATATGAGCGAGGCTCGTCTTTCCAGATTTCATTTATCACTTGGCCGCCCTCGCCTACCAAAGTGAATGGCGGGCAGAACGAGGTGTTGAATCCAGTGGCACAGATGAGAACGTCCAACTTGATGTGCGTGCCATCGTCGAGGATGAGGCCGTCCGGGACGACTTCTCGAATTTCCTCGGTCTGGACCGTGACATTGTCTGAGCACAATGCCTCAAGGTAGCCGTGTCCGGGAGTGATCCTATACATCGCGTTAGTCTTTGTGGATTTCGAGGAACGGAGTATGCTCACCGGCGGCACCCCAACGCGAACTCGGGCACGAGCTTGGGAATAAGTTCTTTTTTCTTGCTCAACTGGTCTATCATCTGCCTCCTCGTTTCCTCCGCCGCTTGCTTCTGTAAAGACGAGTTCTTGACCTGGATGTCGAAAAAGTGATTCATGGTGCTCTCGGCTCTTTTTCGATGTCGGAGAAATCCATCAGGATCACTTGCCCATGCCTCCTGCTGCTCTTTGGTGAAGACTGTTTCTCTTCCTTGTGGGGCGAGCTCAGCAACGAGTTCGGGAGTAATCCATGTAGGGGACCTGTGGAACGAAAACAAATGTTTTGCCACTGTGATAGGCACCTTGGTCAGCCATTACATACTAGGACATGATACGATGCCACATACTGACCTCGCTGGGCTTGAGGCACGATCTGAATGGCTGAGGATCCAGAGCCTATGACGCCGACGACTCTATCGTCCAGCTTGAGAGATGTATCGTAGTGTGCCGAGTGGGCGAGAACACCTTTGAAAGATTGCAGACCAGGAATGTCAGGCCACTTCCAGTTGCTGAGAGGGTGTTAATTCCGTAGCCCTGGGGGAAATTGAAGCTCTCACCTACTTTAGAAACCCGGTCGCATTGACTAGAACTTCCCCTTTGTCCACAATCTTCTCCCCTGTCTTCAAGTTGTCGATCTCTACCTCCCATTGTCCAGTGGAGTCATTCCACACGGCCTTTGAGACTCGATGCTCGAGATGCACAAAGTCATACACCCCATATGCCTTGGCTCTACCGGTGAAGTACTCTAGCAGCTCCTTCCAGTCCACATACGCGCGAGACCAGTACGGGTTTCCCTCCCAAGAAAACGAATAGGCATGCGAAGGTACGTCGCACGAACAGCTCCATAGATGTCAGCGGCCGGAGAGTTGGCTTGTGACATGGAAGAACATACCCTGGATAGCGATTCTCAAACCACGTTCCCGCAACTCCTGCATTCTTCTCGTAAATGACCAGCTCAACTGGCTTTCCCGGGAATCTCTCCTTGAAGATCTTGACGGCCGCAATTCCCGATACACCACAGCCAACGACAATGATTCTAATCGGCCGCGGTTTCCACATGTAATGAGACGAATACTGGTAGGTAGATTTTGTGCCATTGACGACGCCATTTTTTGACGTGTCGTGGACGCCGTTCGTTGCCGCCTCGATTGCCATGGTGTGACTGGTAAAGCGCTGTCGAAGTCTCTGTTAAACTTGATTCCCGATTTTGGGAATATCAAACCTCAAGCAGAGGCATGTGTTGTCACAAATTTAACATGGTGGGAATCCATAGATCGGAATATAAGCCTCCGTTATCATCATCTCCGTGAAAAATAAGAGTGCCTAGCCTCAGGATAGAGTGTTATGGGGTCCTGGTGGAATAACGGAATTCACATCTCCGTCGTAGAGGCTTTCACATCGTTGATGGGAAGCAGTCATGAGACCGCTGTGATAGGGAAGCGACCCCTTGCTTGAGAAGCTGAGAGGTCAGGATACGAGAAACCACTAGAGGGTTTCTCGCTAAACTTCGAGCGGGTTGGAGTGGCAGTTCCAGCCGACCATCCCCCACGATTGACAAGCAGATCCAGCCGAGGCGTCTCTCCATGAGTGTAAACCTCAAGATTTAAGCCCAAGAAGTTGGAGTCTTTGTCGGACGTTTGCTCGAGCACAATCCTCCGCATTCTGTCGTGGCTTTCGTAATGCTCCGTCACGTGCATAAGTAAACCACAGCTGGGAGTGTACCGAGTATATGTGTGGGATATATGGACTGCCGGAAAGGCTTGCTGACCTGACAGGGTCCAAGGAGTCGCGAACAAATGGGTTCACGACCAGTACGGCATATACATAACGGGAGTCTTGTTTGCGCTTGTGTAATGAACAAGTCCAAGCTGAGTAATGCGATGTTTTTGTCATGTATATGTAATATCTGCGGAAATGGACCGCCATATACTCCTTCGAGTGGGTACTCGTATGTACGTGTGCAGGTAAGTACAAGGACGAGCGGCGGAGAGGTGGTTTGGTAGGTGGAAGGATTGATGGGTGAATGGGAAAATGGAATCGTGATTCGCCTAGGGACGAGTAAGGCAAGTAAGGAGTAGTTCTCGGTAGTAGTGGCATAATAATATAATATGAGTTGTGGAGCCAGTAATATGTCCTGCAGGGCCTAGGTAGATGTCCAAAGAGGAAGGTGGATGAACCCAATACGGGGAAGCAACTTGGTCGCTTTTTTCCCAAGTACCGTCGACGGGTATATACCGAGTACCGAGTACTTTAATGCTCCTACATGCCTTTCAAGTCTGCATACATACTCGTTCCTTAGTCCCTGACACAGCTTGTGCGGTCCGTGGAAGCACTTTGCTTAGGGGTGGGTGGGACTACAGTAGGTTTGGGGGCTGAGTGAGGATATAACGAGTGGCTAAGTAAGTACCTCGCAGACAGAGTTGTGAAGGGGCTGACTAACGAAGTCGTTGAGGACTGTTATTTACTGCCACGAGTAGCCCAATAATGGAACCTGAGCCTTGTCAAAATTGCATTGACAAATTCACTTGTCCACGTATCGAGACATGGTCGTTTGACCTGCAAATCCTCCTTCCAAGTAGTCGGGGCCCACAATGAATAAAAAGTCAAACCAGACCCGCACAGACTGTCTTTTCTTGGTAGTCAGCACGATCTGGTTTACTGGCACCCAGCTGGCACCGATACTGGTGCTCCTGTCTTTGTCACGCCTGATGAGATGGCAAAAACGCATCAGATTGTCAAAAGTTCCCCGACGGACAGCCTCATCGCGGGTCCGTGGGTCCAAATTCGCAACCACAGCATCCATTTGTGCCTCTTCACCAGCGTCTCTGGACCAGACCCAAGGCTTGCTTACCTTACCCCTTAACGTTTACCCTGAGGCACACTGCTTACCTGCCTGTGGTACCTATGACATGGTCGATGCTACACCACGAACCATGCTGAAACCAGCTGTGACTGAGCCTTGCCGACTCCACTGCGCGCACTACCCACCTCGTGAGATGCCTTGAATAACGGAAGGATATAAAACTGCACACTTGCTCGCAGGCCTGGAGCATGTATGTCATCACCAGCATCCTGGAGGAAGCTCTAGTTGGTAGACCGCTGATGACAATGAGATCCGAACAAACCCAACAAACATCTACAAACGCGGGGCCGGGGACGGGAGTCTTTTGCTCCCTCGAGGACTTCCTTACCAACGACTTTGACTATGTCATCGTGGGCGGCGGGACTGCCGGTGCAGTGGTGGCAGCGCGGCTGAGCGAGGACCCCAACGTCCGCGTGGGCGTCCTTGAAGCCGGCCAGAACCGTCTGGGAGATCCCCTGGTCGAGACGCCGGGGACGCTGGCGTTCCTTCTAAGAAATCCAACGTACGCGTGGGACTTTACGACGGTGCCTCAGGTATGTATTGTCTCTGAACATAAAGGGGTTGAAGAAGTCGACGAACTAAACTAATCCTCCGTGAACGTGCAGACCGCCAACAACAACAGATCCTACCATGTCACACGCGGCAAAGTCCTCGGAGGCTCCAGCGCCATCAACTTCATGGCCTACACGTACCCGTCGCGACGCGATTGGGACGAGATGAAAGAGCTGGGCGTCACCGGGTGGTCGTGGGATGACATGTACCCCTATTATCGACGGGTCGAGCACTACGACCCCGCGACCAAGCCCGAGCCAGAGTTCTACCCGATCGACACGGCGGTGCACGGCAGCGAGGGCCCCATCCACACGTCGTGTGCCAGCGCGCGGACCTCGACCGAAGATGCCGTCCTTGCCGCCCTGCAGGAGACGTCGGGTCTGCCACTGGCCAAGGAGCCGTACTCGGACTCGGGTGACCACCAGGGTTGGTTTGGGTGCTTGAACGCCATCGACCGCAGCGTCAACAAGGGCACGCGCAGCTACGCGGCGACGGGGTACATTGCGCCAATCCTGCAACGCACCAACCTGAAGATCCTGACGGAAGCCACAGCCACCAAGGTCATCTTAGAACAAGACAATGGCGACCCCACATCGAAGATCGCGCGAGGCGTGGAATTCGCCCATGCGGGCCGTCACACCCCCTTACATACCGTCCGCGCCAAAGCCGAAGTCATCCTCTGTGCCGGTGCGATCCAGACACCGCAACTCCTAGAGCTCTCTGGGATCGGCGACGCGTCGATCTTGCGCGCGGCGGGCGTGACTCCACAAGTCGAGAATCCGCACGTGGGCGCCAACGCGCAGGAGCAGATCATGACCAACGTGAGCTACGAGCTCGCCGACGGGGAAACCAGTCTTGACAGCATCTACACGGACCCGACGTTCCTGCCCGCGCAGCAGGCGCTGTACGCCACGTCGCGCGAGGGTCTCCTGGCCAACAGCCCCGGGCTGAACGGCTTCACGTCGTACGCGGGGCTGGTGAGCGCGAGCACGCTGGAACGAACCGTGTCGTCGCTGGCCTCTCTCCCACCCATTTCGTCCTCGTCACCGTCATTGCCCGCGCCAGAGATCGATTCCCGACAGGCAAGAATCCTCGCGTCGCGGCTCGCCTCGCCCACCGCCTCGGCGATCCAGTACATCCTCATCGCGGCGTTTTGCGACACTCGCAACGGCAACGCCGACATGTCCAAGTTCATGCCCGGTCCGCCGCCGCCGGCGGCGGCATTCTCATCATCCCCAAATCCACCGTCGACAAACCCTTGCATCTCCCTACAAACCGTCCTCATGTACCCGGCCTCCAGGGGCTCCGTGCACATCACGTCCGCAGACCCGTTCGCCCCACCGCGGATCGACTATGGCCTCCTCTCGCACCCGGCCGATGTCGACGTCCTCGCCGCGGGCCTCGCCCTCGTCGACCGCGTGTTCACTTCGCCGCACCTCCGCCCGCGCGTCAAGCGCCGCGTGTACCCTGCCGAGGGGGTCGATGTGCAGAACCCCTCCGTGGCGCGGGACATTGTGCGCGAGGCCGTGACGCTGATCAACCACCCGCTGGGGACGTGCGCGCTGGGCAAAGTCGTCGACGACCGGCTACGGGTCAAAGGTCCCGTGCGGGGACTGCGAGTCGTCGACGCCAGCGTGCTGCCTATGCAGCCGAGCGCGTTCCCCATGGCGACCGTCTACGCGATTGGAGAGAAGGGCGCGGCCATGATCAAGGAGGATCGGGTCTCCAGCAAGGCTTCGTAGACAAGGGGAACCGCGGTCTTTAGTGTACTCGGTATATCCCACGTTGTTCATCGTAGAGAAACAATGTCCTCGATAAGTAACAACTTGATCTCGTCCTTCACAAGCAAGTCCACTCAAGGAGCGATTTGGATAATATGAACTCCTGACCATCGAGTAATTTTGTCACCAGATGCCCTGTCCAGTAGTCGTCCCCATTTGCTGGTTGGATCTGCATCCTTGTCGGTTCAATTACAATGATCCCGCAGACTGTTCTTCGCAAGCATTCATTATCATTATCACTAGGGGTTACCGAGATCTGGCCTCTTGACAAGATTCCCAAATCCTGTCTTCCAGGTCAAGCCCACTGAGACTCGATTAGGTGAAGTCTTCTTCGTACACTAAGACATCATTCTTTCGCTAGATCATTTCATTGCCCTTCACAATTCATCACACCTGAAAGATCGACGGAAAGCCGGTCACGCACTCAGGACGCTTTCTGTCTCTTTCACGATTTCGGGCACACATAAGCCTGCGGCAAACCACCCAAAGCTGCGCAACTTGATGTTACGATTTGCAGTCTCATGCACGGCCAGATCAAGACAGGCAGCAGCGAGGCAAACAAACCCAGAATCACCGTCATCCATAGTCAAGACCTCCATTCGTGACTTGATTTGCCGAAGTTCGTGATTGAATTGCAACTTCATGTAATCGGATTGCTCCCGTTGGCGTTTGGTTGCTGCTCCAGAGCGACCTAAGATCTTGCCGATGAACACTTCTTTCTCGGTCAGTTGCTCCGTGCGCCGAACTGCATATGAAGACATTATGTCCGTCAACATCGATTCATAACTCGCCCATGTTAGCTTAGCCTAGCGTCATCCATACAAAACTTACTAGTCTCTCACTTCCCTCGCGGCAGCAAGAAAGGTCTCAATACGGGAGAAGCCGAGATGATTCTCCACCCAGTCGCAAACATCTCTCAATACTTCATCGGTAGCAGGGTTGCTGAATAGCGAGGAGGT